CTTGGGGTAAGGGGGCTTGGGGTAAGGGGGCTTGGGGTAAGGGGGCTAGGTGTACATGTAGGTCAAACCTGAATGGCAAAAAAGGGGGAAAGGAAAGGAAGGGGGAAAAAAAGAGGGAACTTTTGCAAGTACAACTACAAACAGAAATCTTTGTCTCCAATCTAGCTGCAGGTCTGTTGGGCTCAAGCAATGTAGCCAATGTTAGCAGTGAGCAATTATATTAGTCCCTCTGTGAAACTGCTTAGGCAGAATTATTTCCACCTTTTGTTAAGTGCAAAGCCGGCAGAAGAAATGACATGCGATCAGATTAAATGAAAAAAACACCTATCTTTTATTAGCACAAAGCATTTACCGGTACTAGTACGAAAATTGATGAGCATCAGATGAGTAGAGGAGACTGTACATGTGTTACATGACATTTACCTTAACCCTAACCTTCCCTAACCACACAGAATTGAACACCAGTAAAGTGTGTGAATTTGTGGCACTGGGTACTGTACCCCTAAACTGCTTGTGCTTTAACATGGGTTCAGGCATACCCAAAATAAACAGAGTCCAACAGCTTTTGTGCACAGTTTACCATATGGTGTTGGAATTTGTGTGAATGGGTACGGTTCCCAGTAAATCACTCTGGGAAGTTAGAGTTAAGGGTATCAGCCGTCCCAGTCAGATTACATTGTACATGTGAAAAGGTGATGTGCCTATAATTAGTCCAACTACACAGAGGGCAAAGTAAATCCAATGAAACTGTAATCAGGATACATGTACATGGTGCACATCCATGTATACAGTGCAGATGTGCAGTACATGTACACTATACTGATATGAAGACTGGGGGGGGTGGAATTACGAGTACAGCTTGTGCAGCATACCAATCAGCCTTTCAGTGTTTCCACCCCTCTTCCAAATGAGACTTTTTACTGAAATCTTTACCAGCAGTCTATTGATACGCCCTCACATTTGGATTTGGTGTGCTTACGTGTAAGAGACACACAGAGTCAGGCTTCCACTGACTTGCCCATGAATACAGAGCAACTCTGAGTGAATGAATGTCATCCTGGAAACATTTTTTTCAAAGAGAATTCTCACATTGGGCCCTGAGAAGAAGGCAGTGATGTTGGGAAAACAATATTATAGCACAGCGCTATCTTTACGATACTCGGTATACTGGTGTATTATCGTGTAGGATTACTTTTATTTGCCAACCAGTGAATTTCTTTTTGAGATTACACTCCAAAAAGGGAGGTTGCAAAGGTGTCAACCTGTTAACAATGGCGACGTAGCTTCACCCAATCCTAGCAAACTCCACAATTCAAAAGAAATCTGTCTGACAGAAGGGCACTTCCAACAAAGAAACAGCCCTAGAGTTGAGTTCCTAACTTAGCAGTGCCACCATATGACATCATGTATGACAGAACCGGGTACCTGGTGAAAAAAAAACCCTTCCAATATGTCAGTCTGTTACCCACAGAATTAGCCTACATGTGTACATGTACAAGACTGGTTACGTTCATGGTTTTATGAAAATGCAATCCATAGCAGTGCCTCTTGCACCTTTTCCAGGTGACATCAATGACAAGACACAACATTGCAAGTGAAAGCATTTTGGCACATGTACATTGCTTTCAGAAATCATTCAACGGGAAGAAAGAACAGAAAATGTACCATTTGACAGATGGAAAGTGGCCATTAATTAACCCTAACCCTCCTCAATCCTCCAAAATCCTTCAGGCGTTTTGGAGGATTTTGGAGGATTGAGGGTGAATGGCAAAAGTGCATGGCTGATAATGAAGGATGCTATGCGTGAAGGTCGTGGAGTAGACCTTGTATTGTTGCTTAGTCAAGCACAAATTCAGCTCGATATTTCCTTTGAATCAACCACAGCTCAAGAATGCCATTCGCACTGCCTCAACATAATGCCAGGAATTGCCGGAGGATTTTGAAGGATTTAGGCAGCAGGCAGACCTCTAAAAAACATTTTCAAGAAATTTTGGAAGATTTTGGAGGATTGAGGCTGAATGCAATTTTTTCATGTTGAAAATCGAAGGATTTTGCAGGACTTTGGAAGATTGAGGATGGTTCCTAGTAAAAAGGCCTAGGGGGTTAGGGTTAATATTACAAGATATATCGTGTTTGTTTAAAGAATGTAAGTTTTGAATGGCAAGCAAAAACAGGTAGGACACAAAAAGCCCTGTTCAGCAGTCAGTTTACATGTACAGTATGTCAAGCACAAGGTACCAGTTCATGTACATGAATATGCACAAAACATGACTTCAAGCAATTTGATAACAAAGCGCTAAACTACCAACACTGACCATGACTACAAGCAGCACATGACACAATATACATGTACATATATATTGGCTGTGAAGTGGTTGTGTTTTCAGAGGTGAGATTGACCAATGATAAAAAGTAGCTGAAAACAGCTGGAAAAAAGGCATAAAGAAGCTGAACTGTGAAAATTTCCTGTACTTTTGTACGCAGCTGGTGAGGAAAAAAAAGCTGCAATCAGCTATAAAGCTGAGTAATCTCACCCCTGTGTTTTGTACACCACCATGACCACAGGTGGCAACTGGTACCCAAGGAAGTTTAATATCCCCCCGAGGTGGATTGAAACTGCACGAGACTTCTGGAAAGTGGCTGCAGCCAATACCATAGACTCATGCATAATGACAAAGCCATAGCCAAGTACAGTCGAACCTTGTTAATAAGAGGTCCCTTGGGCTTGGCAAACTACCTTGTTATAACAGGAACCTTGTATGATCAGGAATGAAAACAATGAAAAAGAAAGGACTGGGACCAAACAATTTCCTTGTCTTAAGCAGAATCTTGCATTAAAAGTGCTCTTATTAACAAGGTACGACTGTACATGTAATTTGGACACTGTCCTGACACAGCTCTGCCTGCAGGTCTTAATACCGGTACATGTACATGTACATGTACGGTGCATAGAGTTCAGAAGCCATTTGAGCAGTTCTTAAACCAACTGACCTACATGTATCACAGTACAATCACCACAATGCAGCTTGTGAAATGTTTTGCAACGGTAACATTTTTAAAACGGAAGCAGGACATGCAAGATTTGAGGCATGCCAAACTCAATATCCAAAATTTCACAGGGTTCTCTTGGGCGTGGCAACCTTCCCAAGGGCAAGAGATTAATTAATTAGCATATGTGGGGAATGACAGACACAACACCGGCAGAAGGACGCTATTTGGTTTGTGTCAAGTGTTTTGTGTTTACCACAAATTTACAAAATTACAAACAAAACATGCCTTCCTGTTGTGTCTGCCATGCTTCAAAAAGGCTGACTGGGTATAGATTTCATGACCAACCACGGTACACTGGGCATTCTTGGAGCCATTCTTACCGTGTGCGATACAAACATGGATGCTACATCGTTTGGCTTTCCTTGTTCCTTCAGTGTTTGTAGGTGGTCTGGAGATTTATGGTTGGTATTAAGTGATGCTGAAGTCACTCCATTACCATTCTACCCATCATCAGCATGACGGACAAGGAAAATTGAGAATTCCAAGCATGAAAATCACACATACATGTACAGTAATTATGATTAAAGAACGGGTAAACTGTCACATTTTTAACCCGTCAAAGTACCTCATCCCATGCCCTATATATTTTGTCTAGAAACTCCAACCCTTTTTTTTTTTAATCCAAAGAAAATTTTCAAAACCTTGTTTAAACATTATCTATTAAAATGCACGTTCACAGAAATTAATCATTTCCAATCCCTCCCCCTGTCCCTGGTTTTTAAATTTAGAATGGTGGTGCACGCAACGGCATTGCTGAGCAGTCACTGATGATATGCAATCGTATGAGAACGTTTTACCACAACTGACACAAACAAAGATGCAGACAATCGGTAAAGTTGGATCGAGCTATGATGCAGACTATCAGCATGGAGTTGTTAAGTAGCCATGGCAGACACTGCTGCCCAAGGTCATGAGTCGTGTTCCTCTCTGGCATCGCAACATCTGTGTGTTTGGGATTTCATTGCATGAATAAGATATGGGCATTGCAGACCTTTGATAGACAGGTGTTTATGTGCACTATAACCCTGCAGTGCCCACTGCCACACCCACAAAAGAGGAACTGGTTTCGTTAATAGATGGGTTAATTGTGAGTCAATTTAATGTCACCACTGGAAAATAGGCAGGTACCTCCCGACAAATCTCTTTGATCGGGATTCCCTGCACTCTAGCAGTCTGACACTACGTTTAAGTCAAGCATTGAGATCCGAACAGGAGTGGATCCAAGTTTGGAGGTGTTGATCAGCTGTACACGGTTGCCATGGTTTGCATACCGTTACTTCAACCTTAGCTTTTGAGACTGTGACACATTTGCTACATGTACACGTACATGTACTACCAGTAGATATGGGATTACAGACAGAATTTCTGTGTGGGGTCTGGGGTGGAAGAAGGCCCCACATGTATGACCCCCATGTACATGTACTGCACATTTACCAAATCATACATACAGTGTACAGGTGTACACACACACCCCAAAATGTTACCCGAAACAAACACTCTCTGTATGCATTGATGAGGCAGATGAGATGGTTTAACATCAATGATGCATACACACATGCATGCATCAGAATTCCTGATACCGGAGAGTGTGTGCATGATTCTGCACTAGTTCCCCAAGATGAGCAATGAACAGTGATGTTAACCTCATTACCTGTACAAACACAAACTCAATATGAAAATGCGCCAATTTGGTATTTCAAACAGGCAAGCTTCATGTGCGAGGCCGTACCGGTACATGACTGCCCCCATGAGGCAGACCTGTCCCAGAATGACCATGTGGGCACGATTCATTGTAGGCATGCACTGTTGGAATACCCAGGCCGTGACCTTATAGCACTAGATAGCAATTCTAGTAAAAACTACTGTGGGCTAGTAAAGATATACTGAACCTACTTGTACTTGTTTGAAAATGTTATTTGGGTATTTAGAAAGATGAATGAAACAAAGGCTTCTGATATTGTGAATTTTAATTGTACGTTTTGTAATTATTCGTAGCTGTCAAGATTCCTCCACTTTTTAAGTTGTAATACTGACAGTAATGACTCCAAGGTAACAATTAAAAATAACCAGTTAAAAAAAACAGCCACTCAAAGTTAGTTTTGCTACACGATATCCAGTAAGCAAGTGAGAAATTAAGTTAACTTACACGTACTCAACAGGCAAGTTAATAAAAAGAAAAAAGAAAAGCTTGAGGTTGAGGCCTGAAAACCTACCGGTAACTGCTATGCTACCCTACATGTACATGTACATGTTGCATGGCGTGTCTCACTAAATGGCACGAGTTTCCTACTGGTGCATTTAAACCTGCCACCTTTTGCTCTTGAATGAAATCCATCCATGCCATCTACATGCAAGTATCGGTATACATAAGCATGTACATCCAAGTACATTGGAGTACACAATGCACAGGACCGAATGTTTGGCATGCATGTACATGTACAGTACATGTACAGTGTACTGATTTGAATGTACATAATGTGTGTACATGGACATGTGACCCACCATCCCAAAACCAGGCTCAAGTAGGTACATGTAACTTCATAACCCTAAATTGGTGGAACTTTCACTGTTCAGATTTTCAGGGGAGTTTTACAGCTATTACTACCCGTAAGAAGCTCACTGCAGACAGAATTTGGATTTGTAAAAGAAATTGCGGGAGAGGAATTGTCCAACATCACCGATACAGATTTCAACCTGCATTCCCAACTTGGTGAACAGGAGTGGCTGGGTTAATGTGTCACACAAAGTTACAATGCATCGAGTTAGCCACTTACATGTGCATGTAAGTCAATTACAAATTACAGCAAAAAGGCATAGGATACGTGTATATGTACATGCAATTTTCAATCGGGAGGAGAATTCGACCAGCTTTGTGCAAAATTTAAGTGTACGGTACACAGCTGGTTGAATTTCTTGCTTCTCTAATGTGGCTGAATCCCCTCCCACCTTTACCCGATCCAAAATCAGGTCAAAGGTCAGTAATGACATAACATGGCAAGCATCGATGGGGTCTCACTGCATTTTCATGTCAACATCCACACCCATTGCAATCTGCACATGTATGTCTACCGTATACATGTACAGTACATGTGTACCGTACATGGGAGTGCTCAA